ATCCGACTGAGACTGCAGAAACACGACCCCTTACTCCATTACACCCGCTTGAAATAGTCTGTTTTGTTGATGGTCTAATTGATAAGAAGGCGCTCATGTCCTTCAGGGGGGGGGGACATTCAGAACAGGGCATTCAAAAACCGCTGGTAGGTGACACTAGGACTAAGCCCAGGATTGGGAATAAACACCAGGGAGAACAATGGTTGCTCACATCCTCTCCCAGAATCCTTTCCCTCCCCAAGGCTTAGTCCCGAGTTCTATGAGTGGCCCACTCACCTCAATGTCCCCTCTAGGGACGTGAGCGCCGAATAGAATTTAGGTTCAGCATGTATAACAGGTTTGACATATTCCCTTTTTTCGATAGCAGCACGAACAATTACGAAAGTACACCCAGATAGTCAACGGATTAGCAACGTTCAAGACTGTGACTCTCATTATGGTGGATGTCCTACCGCACAACCGCCTAGAATGTCTTTCACTCATGGAATAGAAGTTAAAACAACTAAAAACATTACAATGATGATTACAAACTATGAAGAATAAGTATGACTAACCGTAGGAAGGAATTTTATACTTTACATCAAGGTTTCCTCCAAGTTTGCCAGAGCCTAGATTGTGAGCAGCAGATGTTTTGAACTCTACTTCCTTATTTTCACCAGCTTTAGTAGTAGTGTCGACTTTAACAAAGCCGTGATCTGTAATTATTTAAATATGGCATGATTAATTGACGACAGGAAAACTTTTGAAACGTACTGTATCCCTTGTTGAACAAATCTTTGGCGGACTTTCCGAGGTCAGCAAAAGTGGGAGGGGCCATTCTGCAACAACTGTATTTTAAGAAAAATAAGTCAAACAACGCTGAAGGAGTGCACAATAACGAATATAAAGTACATCGAAGACTGCAAGCAGCTAACTCGAACAACCTGCCAAGAAGATATAGCAGATATAAACTGTGGAACTGCTACCACCGATCAGTATCAGAATGAACCTTCCCACACCATGCCTCTCAAGCTCGAAAAAGAAAACAAACTCAAAGAACGATCAAAAATGATAAGTTATCTATAGTCTGCAAGATGATATCATTTCCAGTAAATGAAATTAACACGTTGGAGACCGCGCATGCTTTACGTTTTTCGGCTGCTCGGGACTTCAGTGGATTTTTTAAATCTTATTGAGCAAATTGGGAACCAAAACCAATAGGTTGATCTAGACGAAATCTTATTGAATAAAATGG